TTTTTTTTTTTTTTTTTTTTTTTTTTTTGAGTTGTGGCTAGGTCGGCCAAAAAGAGGCTAGGTCAGCTCTTGGAGTTAGGTCATCCTTTGGACCTAGGTCAGCAAAAAGAGCTAGGCTTTGAGAACTTGAGCCTTTGTAGGCTAGGGCGCAAAAAGGAGTGGGCTGGGCACTTTGGGCTTGGGTTGCGCCAAAGCTTCAGTACATCCCTTGCCGATCAGCAAGGGAATGGGTTGGCAAAAATTTGACTCCAATTTCGGCAAAGGAGCCTGGGCTCGAAAGCTTGGGCTGGGCCCTTGGTGCGTCGGCAAGGGGCTTTGTCTCTGTTTACTAGGCCTAGCGTGAGGCAAAAGGCTGGGCTTTTGTGGCTTTTGGCATATGGAGGCTGGGGTTCGACAAAATTTTGGGAAAGGATATGGGGCTGAGCCCAAGATGGGCTTGAGTTTGCGATTAGGGCTAAATGAGGTAGGGAGCATTTTAGAGCTAGGTCAGCAAGTGGGTGAGCTAGGTCACATTTTGGAGCTAGGTCAACAAGTGGGTGAGCTAGGTCGCATTTTGGAGATAGGTCAGCAAATGGGTGAGCTAGGTCGCATTTTAGAGCTAGGTCAGCAAGTGGGTAAGCTAGGTCACATTTTGGAGCTAGGTCAGCAAGTGGGTAAGCTAGGTCACATTTTGGAGCTAGGTCAGCAAGTGGGTGAGCTAGGTCACATTTTTGGAGCTTCGGTACATCCCTTGCCGATCGGCAAGGGAATTTGTTGGCAAATTTTGAGGCCTTGTGGCCCATTCTTCGGCACGGTGAAGTAGTGAAGCCTTTGGGGATTTTGACATGGATTTGGAGCTGAGCCTTTTGGATGCTAGGTCCGGTCTTAGCTCCTAGCACACTTTGGAGCTCTTGAAGACAAAGAGAAGGTTTGAGGGGGCTGGGCCCGTGTTCATTTTCGACAAGGGAGCCAATGAGGAGGGGGCCTAGGCTAGGCAAGGAAGCGGTGAGGGCCTTGGTGTTTCAACTCAAGTGGGCTTCGGCAACCCTTGGGGCTGGGCCCTTATACTTGGGTAAGGCTTTGCGAGGCAAGGGGCTGGGCCATATGAGTTAGGTATTTTTTGGAGCTAGGTCTCAATTTTCTTTGGTAAGGAAGCAAAGCTTGAGCCCATTTTGTCGATCCTAGCTTCCTTGCCGAACGGCAAGGAGCGTGGAGGAGAAAATAAAGGCCCATCCTTGCTTCAAAATGGAGAAGAGAGCATGGGTCGGGGCTGGGCCCGAGTTGGGGTTCGGTAAGGCATGGGGGCTGTGAGCTGGGCCCTGGAAGGCATTGTTGGGGCTGGGCCCCACTTTGCTTTGGTAAAGGAGAATGGCCTGGGCTTTAGTGCCATAGTTGGAGCTAGGGAGCTGTCCTGCTTCGGCAGTTCAAAGAGTGTGCAAGTGCGAGTGGTCTAGGGCTGGGCCTTGAAGCTTCGAAAAGGAGGCTTAGAGCATTTGTGCCGTGTACTGGGTCTAGGCATGTAGGGCTTCGTCGAAACCCATTGGCAATTAAAAGGGTGCTCAGCTTCATGGCTTATCTTCGGCAGATCTTAGTGAACTGGAGCTGGGCCCTTAGGATTTTGGATAAAAGGTCAGTCGTAAGGGGTTTGGGAGAAGAGAGACTTGAGTCCCCCATGCGCCGTTTCCTTTAGTGCCATAGTTGGAGCTAGGGTTTAGAAGGAATCATACATGCCGCCAAGGGTGTCTTTGAGAAGAGGTTGCAAATTTGGCTAAGCCTGAGTCTTGGGCTAGGCGGGGGCCAAGGTGCCGATCGGCAAGGGCCATCTACGGCTTGTATTGAGCTTGTTTTGCGCAAGATAGGGCTAGGCAAGGGCTAGGCTTATTTGCGCAAGATCGGGCTAGGAAAGGACTAGGCTTGAGTACTGAGCTTGGCCTTAGGAGTTTGTTCTAGGCCTGAGCCTTCGAAAGGGGGCTAGGTCCCTTGGATATTGGCATAATTTGGAGCTGGGCTCTGGAAGAAAGAGAAGGAACCTTCAGCAGGGCCTGGGTGTGTTTGGGCTAGGCACGTGTCGTGCCGTTCAACAAGTGGCCATGTGGGCTTGGTTGAGCCTAGAGTGCTAGGCTAAGCTAGGCAAGGAGCCAAGGTGTCGGTCG